AGTTAAAATATTTTCTGTTTTTTTTTTTTAACTTTGATCATTATAAACTTTTTACAGCAAACGCTACTACCGACGACTTACCTTCAAATCAAGAGAATGGCAACGGTAATTATAAAAGATGACATTACCTATAACATTTAATTTAATGCATTAACTCTTTCACTTGAAAAATAACCTTCCTTCCTCCACCTTCCTTTCAAATGTAAATTTATATTTGTAAAATCCTAGGAAATAAGTAGTACCATAAAGAAGATGTGTCAAAGAAGTTTTATTTGAATGGTAACACCATAGGATATCCTCAGTCTACAGATTTAAAAGTTAGTGCAACAAATAATCTCGCTGTTTCCCGGTCTCGGAGAGATTAAAATGTCGTTTGCTATTTGGTGAAGAAGTTTCCGCCTTGTTAAAAAAAATCAAATTAATTTTATTTAAGCTTGATAGCGTGAGGGGTGGTTGCCCAATCTTCCGAGCCAGGGGGTCATGTTTTAAACGCTCGAGCATTCCGGATCGAATTGGAATTTAGAAATGTTGGTTTTTGCGGAGAGGGGAAAACCGGAGTACCCGGAGAAAAACCTCTCGGAGCAGAGAAGAGAACCAATAACAAACTCAACCCACATATGACGTCGAAACCGCGAATCGAACCCGGGCCACATTAGTGGAAGGCGAGTGCTCTCACCACTGCGCCATCCCTGCTCGAAGAAAATGACTGAAAGACGACAGGACTAACTCTAGTGTCGTTGTGGCGTTGAGGGAGGTGCCCGACATGGTGATTCTCAAATTGTTCTTTTATACCGACTTTAATTAAGCGAGTAGGAGTAGGTGGGGTGGGGGGGAGGGGGAGGGGTTGGCTTATTTGAAGGCTAGCGCTTTTTTAATAGTTTTATTTTGAACTGGACGCTAATACAGTATACTTTCAGTCAAAATCTGTTCATTGCATCTTCCTCAACTGCCAGTTCTCAATCTTGATTCTGGGCTGATAGAAATTCGGTAAATGCGACCATATTATTTTAGCTTTTTTTAAATCTATAAATTCTTTGAAATCTTGTAAGCTCATATTATAAACCAATTATTCCAAGCCTAGTATGTTAAGAACTTTACTTTTAAAACTTCTTTGTAATCTTGACCGTCTGCCACTTTTCATGTATTCACTGTTTTATTTTGTCTTTATATTTATTTATTTATTTATTATTGTATTTAAATTAATTTTGTAAAGTGTTGTAAATACTGAAGTGTAGGTTGTCTACATTTAATTCTAAGGACTTATCTTGGATTCTTGGCGAATTCCTTGAATCCATTTTGGTTCACTTTCTCTTTCGTAGAAAGCTACTACAGCTGTTACTACCCAGAAAGCGAAGCCTTTCGCCAACAAGTCGCCGCTATTGTGAACAAATTCCGAGCCAATGGTTATAATGTCATCATGGATGCAATGGTATCCCACGAAATTAGCTCGCTAGGTCCTTCAAAATGGGCTGAAGTACAGATCAGAAAAGCGAAAAAAGTGTTGGTTTTTCTTTCTCCAGGGCTTTTGAAATTATCACTTGGATACGAAGGCATGCCGCGGTCTGAGGTAGAGTGTAATTGAATATATCAGCACTTTAGAACTTGTTTTATGTCTGGTCTTGACTTCTAATTGGATGCTGATCTGTTTCAGGGATCTACATTGTAATGATAAATGCTGATGCATGCCGGTGCTTCATGATTCAAACGAAATATTATTTATAACATCCAACAAAAGTTAAGCGCTCGGTCTGGTTGTGCGCTCAACAAAGCTGTGCGTTCCACTTTCTTAGTGACTATATTTTGTTTTTAATTTGCCTCACAATTTGCAAAGGTTTTTGTGTTAGTACTGAGAGAAGGTTTACAAAAACCGTTACAAATAACGTAAAAAGGCCTCACAGTCCACATTGAGATGGAGAACTTCTTAATCAGCGAAAAGACTTTTAAAAGAAAAGATTTTGCAAAAACAAATTTACGCACGCCATAGCGCCAGCTGCAGCGCGCTCAAATGACTTACTTTTATTCCCCAGATAACTGTGAGAAAAATTAAAAGTTGTTCTTTTTTGACGTTATAAAAGAAATGGTAAACGTTGCAGCTGTCCTCAAAGGAGGTTTGCTAAGCACTCAAGAAGCTAGTAAAATTGTCGGCTACGCGTCGAGTAACTCTTACGCTTCCATTTGTGCTTGGCAATCTCCCGCGTGGATCCATAATCCGATAGTTGCATCCTGCTCGTTTACCATTTCTTAAATGTCTAACATTACAACGCACTTTTTTTTTTGTCAATGGTAGGATGCCAATCGTGTGTGGTGTGAGTTGGAAGTTCTGCGAAGTATCTACAACAGAAGTCGCTCTGCCGCAAAGACGGTTTGCTTAGAGCTGCCAGACATGCCAGTATCGTCAATGGAACATCCTGTGTTTTTGAAAGTTATCTACAAATGGCCAAACGATTTTGAGAAAATCCTTCGTGGCCTAAACGACAGACCTTCTATATTGCCGAGATAAGAAATCCTGTTTAGGCGCTCTACTGTAGAGTGTTGTTCACAGTTGTCGGTAGCTTACTCATGCCCGTATAATAGCCTAAGAAAATAACCTACATGATTTCGCAAAACCACTTCTGGTTTCCCGCGGGATCAGGTTAGTGACTCGTCATCAGTATGGGGAATTTCTCCGCTCGTTCCTCAGACGTAGCTGGGAAATCAGTAATGGGCAGTGCCGGATCCAGACCTTGAGATAAGGAAGGGGAGGGGAGGGAGGGGGGGCCGTTATCCAGACCCTTAGATAAGTTAGATGAGGATGGGAGGCGATTTCCCCCGATTTTTTTTTCCGCCTTTCGGGCCTCAGTTTGGTGTAAAAAAAGAGGGGAGGGCGGGCCCCCCCGGCCGCTCCCCTGGATCCGCCACTGGTGGGGTAGCGAAATGCATGTTGTTTTCTTAGGTTAATTCGGGTAAAACGTCTCTTATCCAAGAAAACGGCCAGGATTACAGCAAACGGAGCTTGGAGCAATTCGGCCCTGATACATGCAGTTTTAAGTTTTTTGTTGTATTACTAACACGATACTGTAATCTACTGATCGCCCCAAATTAGGGAATCCAAGACAGTCTTGGATTCTGGATTCCACGCCGTGGATTCGGGTTCCGGGTAGGCTTAGCTGCATAATTCCAGAATTTGGGGGGAATTTTAGACATCGAAAAGAATTTTAGAAAATCTCGGAAATTCTAGAAAAAAAAAATGACAAATTTGAGAATTTTAGAGCAATTTGAACATTTACCCGACATTGTGGGGACATTTTACGGGGAAAAATGTTGACAAAACGTTTGTGTTTGTATTCCTACCAACCAAGAGAGGGCACCGTCTGCTCACATGCTACAGCAGTTTCTAGAGCACTATAGGACGTTCGTTTGAAAAGGAAGATAAATACATATATAAACAAATGTAAAGTGATGTTTCGTGGAACCTTTAAGCATTGGTAACAGACAATGTTTTACGATTACAACTCATTCTTTCTTGTCATATCGCCATCGAAAAAACCGAATTTTTTGTGAGAATTTTCGGGAATTTTAGAGAGTTTTTGGAGAATTTTAGACATTTCTAAAAATAATTTTAGAGCTTTTTTTGGGGAACTTCTGGAAATAATTTTAGGCCATATTTCGGAAATTATGTAGCTAAGCCTAGTTCCACGTAACTGGGTTACGGATTCTTTTTCAGTAGAATCTGGATTCCAGATTCCAGATTCCAGTCACTAGTGCAAAACTGCGCAGCTTGACTGGTGACTAGAACCCGAGGCTCAGAACATATAACACCAGTTCTTCGTAGACTACAAAGCTGGCTTTCAGTCAGACAACGAATTCCGTACAAAATACTACTTCTTACGTACAAAGCACTGAATGGCATGCCGCCAAAATATATAGCAGATCTCCTTCAGTCCTATTCTCCCAATTACGATCTTCTTCAAAAACACTGCCTGTAACACCAAAGTCTAATCTCAAGTTTGACGGTGACAGATCTTTTCAAGTTGCCACGCCCAGGCTCTGGAACTCCCTAACCGATGACATAAGATCAATCCAGAACCTTGATGTTTTTAAGAATAAGATTAAAACACTACTTTTTAGAGAGGCTTTTATTAGTTAGTTGACTACCCGTTTTTCTTTTATTGTATATATTTTCCTTAGTTAATCTTAGCAAGTCGAATGTATCTTATTTTGTAGAAATTAATTTCTTCAACTGTTATATATTTTCTTTAATAACTCAAATATTTTTTTTTTATTCTTTTAGAATTACGATTATTGTAAAGCGCCATTGAGCTCACGGAAATGGCGCTATATAAATTCTTGTATTATTATGATTATTATTATTATGATTATTAGTCGTAGTAGTAGTGGGATCCCGGATTTCTTGAGCTGTATTCCGGAATCCAGATTCCACGAGAAAAAGTTTTCCTCGGCGAAAGTAAAAATTTTCCGGATTCCGGTATCCGTGTTCCCTTATATGGGGCGATACTTAGTAATGCTGTCATCAACCACTATACAGAAAGTACATGTATTGTTGATTAGCTACCGTTTTGTGGTGTGCTGCTAAATTAATGAGCATTTTAAAATTCTTAATTCCGTCTTAATTCGGAAATTAGACGTTGCACTGTAAAAAGGTGTACTTAATTTGTTTGGAGAATTTAATCAATGTCCATCATTGCTGTAGGGCGTTTTCACATCAGCTTGGCAGCCATATTGGAGTAGCGAAACAGTGAAATGGAGACCATGTTAACGAACCCAGCTAATCCTCTCTTCTCATGTAAACACCTCTTTTATTAAAATTTTGATAGCTTCTGGCCCACCTAAGTGATAACGCTCTATCCGTTGCCGTGGTGACAATTAAACTTTACTTCTTATCAATGCTATGTTCTTTGGTGGAAAAGAAAGAAAAGGCTGAAGGATTAGTTTTGCTAGAAAAATACGACGTTTCCCCAGTGACGGTTAGTACACGGGAGAGTATTTCAAAAGGGGCATATCCCAGGGATACGAGAGACATGTGAGATTATTCTCAAAGATTAGTGTTTTAAAAGGTTAAGCTAATCGTGGAATCATGCTTGCATTTTCGTTCGAAAATCAATACTTGTTGTTTAGTTTAGGTTAGTTTCACGTCAAGAAATAATTCCTGTTACCATGGCTTATATAGACCAATTCGTTTAAAGACATGCAAGCCCGTTTCAATCTTTAAGAGCTAAGAGAAACAAACAAAGGAATAAACAAACCCACCAAAACACAAATCTCTAAACGCCTGAAATAGGCCAGATTATTATACGTCTACAGCTACACTGGCGCGCTTGCAAGACATGCGAAACGGTGGCGTAACTTGCACTGGTGACTTATATCTAGTACATCCTAGTTGGAATCTATGATTAAAACAGTAGCACGCGGAAATTTGGAACGTCGTCAGGTTTAAAATATAAGGTGGGAAAGCTGCGTCAGTTTTTAATTTTGTACAAAGACTTAGTTGGAAATTTTACCGATTAAATAAATGCTGTTTAAAAATTGGGCTTTAAAGCGATATTGTATTCCGTAAGTAAAAAATATTTTTCTGGCCCTTCTGAATGTACCACTTCTACTATGTAGTACTATCTTCATATTTTTATAATTATTATTCGTAAAACGACGAGAGAGAGAGATACGTCTGGATACGAGGCAGTGACAATTATATTTTTTGTGGAGTGTTGTGGTCTTCCCCTCCGCTGGATATGGGTGGCGGGGGAGGGGGGGGGGGGGAAAGGCCCCCAGACCTCCGACAACACCCCCCCTGGCACCCCCAACCCTTTTGGGAAACAACAACAATCCCCAGGCAAGACGTCAGTTTGAGCACTTGTGAAAAAAACAAGCGAGACCAAAACACGCAAAAATAAGCGAGGATGAGCGACTGGTGGAAACGTGGCGCTATAAACTATCTTTTTTTCGGGGGGTTGGGGGCTTCCCCCACCCGGAGAACTGGGGGGGGGGGGGGGGGGGGGGGGGGGTAAAGGCCCCCAGACCTCCGACAACACCACCCCTGATCACTGCAACCATTTTGGGAAAATACGAATATTCCGATGACAAGTCTATGTTTGAAGCATTGTTAAAATCCACAGAGTAGCCAAATACCTGAAAAACTCATGGCAGCGACCTTGGCCGGAACCACTGAAGCTCGACCGTACCGTGACTATGCCTTGAAATCCTTGGGAACTGCCCACCACCCACGCAAACGTAGAAACCCACGCCGTCGCACTTGGACATAACGTAATGACGTATTAATTTAGTATGGCTCGATCTTGGCTATTTGTGTCGTTTCGTCCGCGCTCAGCAGAGGTCGACGTAGTGTGAAGTTCTTCTGTTTGACTGTAAATTTGACTATAAATTCGTTCAATGATCGTTTAAGTTACAATGATAACTCTCACGTCCATTGGAATTGCCATACTACTGTGGGGCCTCGCTCAAGATTTTTTGTCTGTTCCGTTTTTTGTGAGAGGAGAAGATCAAACGCCTGATAGAACTTCTCGTGATCGACGAACCATTTGCCACTATCTCTGCAGTTCTAAGAGAGATGAGCCGTTCAGAAAGGTACGATTTATGATTCATCATTTAGATTGGAAAGCTATTCTTTGTTCGACTAATTCTGTTATTGTGTACAGTAAATCATAATATTATTTCATCCTAAAGGCCACTTAATTCGCTTCTTCGATATGCTTGGTAGAAAGCATAAGCAATGATGCAGTTTTCAGCTGTGTGATCGTGAAAAATTCGAAAACTTATGCTCTCTTAACTCTACGTGGCTCAATGCCAATAAGTGCGTGCAGTTTCTCTTTCCCTCAGTCGACCTTATTTTGACTGAGAATCGCGCCGAAGCCATGCTGCTCTGAAGAATCTAGAGGGATAACATAGATAACTTTAAAATCTTTTCTTTACACATGATTGCTTCCTATGAGTGATATTCATTTAGGCAACCGTAAAAATTGTTGTGGTTCGAGACAGGAAAGAATACGTAGTAGATTGAATCGGTATTTTAAAATCTCTTGTCAAGATATTTTATTTGAACCGTTTCAGCTACGGAAAGTAAAGAATCAGAGAAACATCGCCGAGACCAAGTTACATTCAAATGTAATCGTCGAACGGACATCATCGCTGAAACGAACGAGTTTATTCTTCGAAAGAACACGCGAATTAGTAATTTGATATTTGACGAAAAAGAAGTCACGCTATCTGCAATGCATACACACTGACACAGTGTCAAGCTTTTGCGGTTAATACTCGTACATATACGTGGACTGAGACTGTCGTGAAGGCTTTAAAGTTATTAATAATTTACGTATAACGATATAAAACAATTTATCATAATTGTTTTGTTCTATTCCTTAGACGGAATGGAATCAAATGTACTGAATTGAGAACGAGTTCCTGTCTCCACCTGCTGTCTCGCATCTTGTCAATTTCACGGCCGTTTCTGATTTATTTCCTTTTAATAGTTGTTTTAATCACAAAGGG